AATTGACATTTGATGATAAATAAAAGCTGTTATTTATGAGTAAAGTGTTGCTATCTCTTGTCAATCGTTTACTATTATTTCTTTTTGCATGTTTTGACTTCCAGAATAATTATGTTATGGTTTATATCATATTATTCAAACTCTCCACAGTCGGTCATATGTTGGAAGTAGATATGAATCAAGACTGTCATGGGTTGGCTTGTAGAGGTCTAAGATGTTAGACAAAGCGGGGCTACAACACTCATGAGTGCTCATAAGTTCTGAGTATTGGATTCAACCCACGCTCACTTGTATCACTTCATGGAATTTATCTCGAGTGATCGTGAGACGGTAATATCATATAAGTCTTCAAACCTAGAGATATGATTTGTTGCCTATGAGTTGGTTATGCATTGATTGCACGAAAACGCATTGGTAACTCGATGTTATAAACCGTGCCTTTGTGTGTAGTTCAACAAGTAGTAGAGCAAACATATGAGTCGAAGTTTATCTGTTCCTTCTAGGATTAGAAGCGATATCTGGGCCCCTCGATGATTTTGTTTTGACCTATGTACCGGGCCCGGTCAGAACTAAATTGATGTGTTCAGTTAAGTTCTATGTCAAACAAATCGGAAATCGGGAAACAAATGTTGGACAATAAGCAAGACCATGTTCCATGTATTTGTCCGGCTGATATCTAGAACAGAGGATTATATGATCACTTATCTAAAATGGCGCTTCATAGTTCAACAGAGTTTTAAGAGCTACGATTGCTGATCGGTTCCTGAAGTCATACTTGCAACTATAGTTATTAGACTTATCCAAGTGGGAGACTGTTGGATATAGTGTCTAAGTCCATAACTATATTTTGTATGTACTTGACCCGATCCGGCATGGTCCATTTGGGTTGCACTTCACCCGAACAATTTATGGATAATCGTTTGAGAATAGTATAAGTTATGATTTATTAATATATTATAAGTCCTAATATATTAATATAAAATCATATTATTTAATTAGTATTGATCTATAATTAATCTAGAATTAATTTAGAGATCAAAAGTATGACTAATTAAATATGGGCTCTTGTATTTATATAGTGTGGGCTAATGCTTATTTGGAATGGGCTAGGCTTGCATGGAAAGTCCATGGATACTCCATGGAGCTTTAACCCATGGATCTCATGGAAATGAAAAGACATGGGTATAAGGGTTTACATGAATGTAACCCTAATCCACCACACTATATAAAGGAGGCTTTGGTTCTTGAAATCACATGAGTTGTGGTGAGTAAAGTAAGAGGGCCGATTTCAAGAAGGTGATTACTATTCTCTCAAAGTTCCAAGTTTGTGGTGATTTGTGATTTCCATTTGAGGCATCCACACTATTGGTGCTAGGCTCTAAAACTCCAAGCAATCAACTACAACTACAAGGTAAGTAATTCTACTAGCTTTATTTGATTCAAGTTCCCCATGCCATGCTAGATAGGATAAGAACCTTGGAAAAATAATTATTTGCATGTATCTTAGTCAAACATAGATCCAAGGTTTCTAGGGTTGCATGTACACCATAGGAGTGTTAGAATGCTCAAAACCCATCAGTTCCAACTTTGAAATAGGTGAAATCTTGGCTTAGGAAATGTTTCGCTATAAAGGATCTAGGAGAGGCGACATACATTCTTGGAATAAGGATTTATAGGGATAAAAAGAAACGTCTAATAGGACTTAGCCATAGTACATACTTAGATAAAAATATTGAAGCGTTTCAATATGGAGAATTCCAAGAAAGGGAATTTTCCCATACATCATACTGTCAAATTGAGCAAGACTCAATGTCCAAGTAGTGATAAAAGAGATAAATGCTATGAGTCGAGTCCCATAGGCTTCAACAATAGGATTGATCATGTATGATACGACTTGCACTCGTCCTGATGTATCTTATGCCTTGAGCATGGTTAGTGGATATCAAGAAAATCCTGGCGAAAGTCATTAGACAACAGTAAAGAATATTCTTAAGTATTTGCAGAAAACCAAAGAAATGTTCTTAGTTTTCGGTGGCAAAGATGAATTAAGATTGAGTAGTTATAGGTAGCTAGCTTTCAAACGGATCGAGATAACAATTGTTCTCAATCCTAGTGGGTATTCCTACTGAAGAGGGCGTAGTGACATTGAAAAATTCCAGGAAGAAAACAGTGACTGATTCTACTTGTAAGTTAGAGTATATCGCAACAAGCGAGGCAACAAAGGCAACGACTTGGCTAAAGAATTTCATTGGGGATCTTGTAGTTGTTCCATCAGTTCAAGAATCCATGGAATTTTTCTGCGACAATGAAGGTGCGGTTGATTTAACTAAAGAACCAAAAGATCATGGGAGGTCAAGGAACATTCAAAGGAAATGCCATTATATCAGACATAGAGTTGAAGATGGCGACCTCGTGGTGAGTCGAGTATCATCAGAGTATAATCCTACTGATCCTTTTACAACTGAGTTATGCAAGAACAAACACTTCGATCATGCTAAGAGCATTGGATTAAGAGATGATATAAGTTTTAGTGGTTAATTGATAGTTTGAAACAATGTAACAAAATAAATTATATTGTTTTTGGTGATTAAATAATGGAGATTTATATATGAGTTTGCTAACTACATTTTTCAATTATTTATTCTTGTGTTTCGTTTTACATGTTTACTTCCCAAGTATTAAATTATTCAAAACGCCACAGTCGTTCATGCTTTTAGGAGTAAGTAGTGATTTAAGACCATCATGGAGTATTAATAGATTGTCCATTGTGATTGGACATGACATAGAGGTTGTTATTACTATTCATGAGTATTTAAATAGGGATTTTAGGTATTGGATAAACTCACACTTAGAGATTAATTCATGGACTTAATTATAAGTAATTCTAAGATGATAAATATTCTATTCTTCAAGAAGATATACATAAATTATAATTTACAACTCTGTTGTGCATTGATATTATATAAACACACCCGTAATTGGATTTTATAAAATGCAGTTCCATATATGACATGATAAGTAAAAATGTTATAATAATTTAGTTGAAGTTTATTTGTTCCTTTTTTCCTTTAAAAGAAAAACGATATCTTTTGGGGCCCTCAGTGATTTGATGTTGACATTATGATGTTGGACCCAGCCTGGACTAAATTGATGTGTTCAATTCGTAGTCTAATAAGGTCATAAATTGGAATTTGGGAAACAAAATCTTGGACCATGAGATTGATTTGAATCCATGTCTCATGTCTATACGATATCTTATAGAACGAAGGAATAACTGATCAATTATCCTAGGGCCAACATCTGATATAATTGCATTTGTAGTTGATGACTTATCCAAGTGAGAGACTGTTGGATTAGGTGTCTAAGGTCATAACTAAAATGGTATATCCTTATGGAATAAAAACAATGTCCTTTTTGGGCTGCCCTCGATAACTAGAAATAACTAGAAGCGACTTTACAAGTATGAGGAAATGATTTGTTAATTTATTAACAATTAATAATTTAATTAGAATTAATTTAGAATTAATCATAATTAATTGAAAATTAACTTTGGATTAATCAGAATTAATTAAAGGTGCAAATGTTGAGTTGTAATTGCTCAATTATTGAGAAAGTGAGACAATTATAGAACCTTCTTATGACGAACGGTTTTGGAGTGATTCCAGAATGATTTTGGAAGCCTCTTTGATAAATGATAAGGATAAAAGATTTGAATAGATTAAATCTTAATATTTAATTATTCAAATTAGGGTTTATCTTGAAGATTCACCAGTTATAAATATGGACCATTGGCTAAGTAAAAACCAGTGTTGTAAATATCGGCCTAGGCGGTCTGCAACTGATTACGATTAGAGGTGCTTGGCGGAAATTGGTCAATATCGGTCAAACTCGGGCCAGGTGGTCCTCGACGGTCCTTGGCGGGACCCCAGCCACGAGCTTTGCCCCTTGGACCCCGCTAGGGGCGCTGCCCCTTTGGAAACCCCGGACCCGGGGGTGCTGCCCCCGGACCCCCGACTAGTCGTCGAACCGGCTTCTAATTCGATCTTATACATGCGTGCACTTCGCACAACCCCCGTACATATATTAGAGTACAAACTATGAAGCCCCTTAGCTCACATGTTAGTTCCAGTTACTTAAAATGACATGGTGACACTAAAATCACCAACATGGGGTAACGCCCATACCCACGTTATGGTTACCACATCATCTTCTTCTCTCCATAACATATATATAAACATCAAAAGGAAATGGTGTTTTTTTTTTTCCTGAAACAACGTTGAGAAGAAGCAAATCAGGAAAAAACAGAGGAATAACACGCGTTTCGTACCGTTACCACCATCACGCCCGATGGCATAACCCCCGATAGCGCAATTGATGGGAATGATGTTTCTCATAAAAACGCCGTTAAGAAAGAAGAAAACAAAGGAAAGAAATAACGAGTCACGATGTTACCCACACCCAATGGTCTAAGCGGTTAGCATATTACCAAAGTAACACCCAAAAATGCAAATCCAGCTCTTTTTGTTTCGCTTTGTTTTGGTTCCTCTTATGTTTGCTTTTATGGGTTTTTATCATTCATTCACCTTTGATTTTTGTTTCATCTTCATTCGGTTAAAATTGTCTTCATTAGTCGAAGTAAGTTATATTTCCAACTTCATATACCTCGTAGTATCATACACAAATTAATTCCTTCGAGAAGATCTTTAATTATTTCCAAAAGTATCATCAAATTCCGTGGGAAATGGGAATAAACGACTAGATTTTAAGGAAAGATAAAAATATATAAATTATTGATAAAAAAGCAGCCAATGTTTGGCGAGCCATCCATGTAAGACCCCATTATTGTAGTCCCCCTGATTGGGTTAACCCAATTTCGACCCTATATAAATCCCCAATTTGCGAAAGTCAAACTAAACCACTGTCCTTATGACCTTGTGTCCCATATCCCCTCAAGAACCCTAATTTTATCTACAATCTTTACAAAATTACCAAAAATTAACATGGGCTCCGACCAGAACAAGAGTAGCTGCTATAGTGATTTACTGATTCCGCCATTTCTGGTACTGTTTGTGCTGCAATTCGTACCTTATGTCGGAGCTCAAGCTTCAGCTCCCCCAGATGGGATGCCGTATGCTGATTTCAACCCTTCGATTATCACCATAATCGTAATCCTGGTTGCAGCTCTCTTCTTAATGGGGTGCTTCTCGATTTACATCCGTCGGCGCTCAAACGAAGGCGGTGGTATCATCCGTAGAGTCTCCATACGCCGTGCTGCTGTGGCATCACGCGGTCTCGATTCAACGGTGATCGAGACGTTTCCGACCTTCGTTTACTCATCCGTGAAAGGGCTTAAGATTGGTAAAGGTGCACTTGAGTGCGCCGTGTGTCTTAACGAATACGAAGATGAAGAAACTCTCCGGTTGATTCCGAAGTGCGATCATGTTTTCCATCCCGAGTGTATCGACGCTTGGTTCGAGAATCACGTCACTTGCCCTGTCTGCCGTGCGAATCTCGTTCCTGATTCCGGCGAGTCCGGTAACGTTCCTACGGAGGTGGAGTTAGGTGTTTCCGGCGATGAACATCACCGGACAACCGCAGCTGGTGAAGAAAACGACGGCGTTTCTGGTTCTGTTTCTATTTCCATTGCTGAAGATCCTGTAGTCAACATACAAGAGCCGGCGACGCAAACTGAGTCGCTGAACCGGAACCAGAGTGGAAAACAGAATCGGCCACAGATATTCCCGAGGTTGTTCGACAAGTTTAGATCTCATTCGACCGGACACTCGCTGGTTCAACCGGGGGAGAATCTAGACCGGTTTACGTTGAGGTTGCCGGAAGACGTGAGGAAGCAAGTCGTGAATCGAGCTCTGCTAAACCGGATGGGAAGCACTGTGAGGATGACAGGAGAAGGGAGTGAAAAGAAAGGGTTCAGGACGGCCGGAGTTGGTAGCGGCCGGAGAAAATCTTACAGACGGCTGGAGAGTTTAGACCGGGTGGTGGTGAGGTCAGAACGGTGGGTTTTGTCGAGGGCACCATCTTTTTTGACTCGAGCATTCTCCATTAGGTCTCCGAGGGTTGTCTCCGGCGACGGGGAGGCGTCAACGTCGGCGACGACGCCGAAAGGCTCCAAATCGGGCGATAAAATTCCACTAAATAACTTTGGACCCAAAAGTTGTTGACTCGGTCTCTGGTTTGTGTGAATTTCACGAGTGAAATGACTTTTTTTTTTTTTTTTTTACGTAATATAATTTGATTTTGCTGTTAATTAATTGTAAACATAGAATAAATCATTTTGGACAAATTATAAACCATAAATGACAAAAATCATCAATATTTATAAGATTTATATCAAACACTTAACATACTTCTATTAAATCTTAATTTTGTAACATGTTTCATTGTTTTTGGAAATATTTTGAGAGCCAAAAGCATCTTAGAATTATTGTTTGCGTCACTCGGCATATCATTGAGCATACCGAACTTGATGAATAATTTATTATCCATTGATAATTACAAGATATTGTTAAAAAAAAAAAAACAAACTATTTGCTAGTTGTCTTTTTATTTTTTTAAGGCTGTCTATTGTCTATTAAACATGGCGGAAAGCATGTGTTTATTATTTATACCGAATATTAGTGTCGTCTAGTTACATGTTTTTTAGAATGTGTACTGGTGATGAGGCATGGTTGATTTATTAGTAATAACAAATCTGACAAAGTGTTTAGACTTGTAGCTTTTGTATGTGAATCAACAACTCATCATCGTTATCATATCTGATTGCACATGTTAGCAATTAGTGAGCCAAAGAAACTTATTTTGCAAAGATTACAACGCAAGAACATCTTAATCATCTTTTGCTAAGGATCAAGTGTGTATTGTAATGATTTGGGTTTGCTTATTGAGTTTGTAAATAGAGAGAATAAAGTTGTTTTGAATAAAACCTACTTTGTACAATCATGTATATGCCACTTAGGTAAAAGAGTTGTGTGATACAAACTAAATGATTTAGTGTCAAATGATTCGGACTCTGAAAGAATTTGGTACTGAACGAATGTATATGGTGTTGAATGAATATGGTGAATAAAAAATAACCAATTTTAACCTTTGAAATTGAATGATGTTTGAATGAAATAATCATGTTTTATAGAACTTCTCAAATGAACTTTGTTGAATGATTATAAAAATTACAATACATCGTATAATCTCGAACTAAACATGATAATTGAAAATCCATAATAACATACTATATTCCAAATTAAACATAGTACTTTGCATACAACTTAGTTTGCACCATTTTAAAATAATTAATTAACGGTTTGATCACATAAATTAGCAATATATCCATTGCCTTAAAAACTTCAAAACTCCATTCTATTTCGTGTATGTTTTCTTCCTTTGTTTCTATATCTTGTATTTTAGCAATGGACATTGTATTCTCTTCAAAACCCATAAATAAGTGATCATAAATCTTGTATTTTCTTATAATATTATGGAACACGAACAATCAATCACTATATCTTTTTATAGTGGAAATAGATAATCATTTTCTTTAGGATTGATAATCTTGCTTTCAAAACATCATACACACATTTAATAATATTTCTAAATTGTGCATGAACATAATTGAATCTCTCTTCTTTAGTTAATACACGTTATCGTTGAAACTCGATTAGTCAATACCTCATATTGCGAAACGGAGTCAGAAATCCACGATTTTTGGTGTATGTAGCATCCTAGAGGTAATATTTATCTAGACACGTGAGTGTGGAAATACTATTAAATAAAAATATATAATGTATTAAAAATCAAAGTTAAAGAAATATTGCATACCTAGTGGAGAAAATGGAAGCCTAGAGTTGAGTTGAATGCAACTTCTTTCAAAACTCGTGAATCATGTGTTATGCCCTCCCATATAGCTCATACAAACGTGGATATCATATCAAAATAAAAATACTAAGACATTTGATCTCATACACCTTTTCTTTTTAGTTCTAATTAGACTTGACAATCTCGTGTCTGGTTGTCGTGTATACATGTCAGACACAATTTTACACGAAACAAGTTGTAAAATGTGTCTTCGGTATAAAAAATGAACAAGACATGTAACAAATTCGTGTGGCATGTCATACTACACGAATATATATGTTTTTAACCATGTTAAACGAAAACATGAAACAGAAATTTACACGGATAGACATGTTTCACTTGTAAGACATAAATTTTTTCATACGTGTCATATGTCAACATGAATTTGTTTATACATGTAACATCTGTTTTCCAGAATGGATCAGTGGATGGTATAAATGAGTCAAATGCATGGTTCTTGAGGATAACCATACGCCACGACGTGACATGAAGGGTGTCACGACGTGGCATCCCAAATGAAGAACGAGTATCTGGGATGGCTGTCACGACGTGACAGCAGCTGCAGCCCAAGCCCATGCTTTTAGGGTTTTACCCATATTTAAACACTTTAACTTCAAGTTAGGGCATCATTTTCAGCCTCAAACCTCTCATATTTTGGTGTGGTGCTTGAAGACCAAGTTTCTTGCAAAGTGTTTTGGTGAAGTGCTCAACTATAGATCTAGCAAAGGGACTTCAATTATGGATCATTGTGAGTAAAAACCTTCCATATTGACCTTTAGTTTTGCTAGATCTTGTAGTTTGATCATATATGTCCCTTTTGGTCCTTGTGAGCTTATGTTTTGTAGTTTTGTGAACTCCAGTACCTCCCGAGCTTATTTTATCACCTCATAATCTAGTTGGTTTGGGAAAGTTTGCATTTCTATCTTGTTCTTGAAGCCATGTATGTTTTTGGAAGGTTTTATGCTATTATATACTTAAGGTTTAGGATGTTGTATTGTGGTGAGGTCCTGATGGATAAATGTAACAAATGGTAAAAATCAGGTCAAAAAATCATGGATCAATCTCCTCAAACTCTAATATAATTGGAAATATTATACATTAATCTATATTTTTATAAGCAATTGAAATTATATTATCTTTAATTACTTGTGGAGCTAAGTTGCATGCCTTAATAGAAAACTTGAGAACATTTTTTTAACTAAGGATTATGTCTAACATACGATTTCATCTAATAATATTTTTATCCCGAAGTATAACTGGTTTCGTGAAATCTAACAAATTTAACCATTTAAATGTGAAATCCATAAACACCACTTCACGAAGTTTCGTGTATCGTAAGTTTAATTTCGTTTGAGCTTTTAAACTTGCCACGTTCGACACAATCAACAACAGACATGTCCGAAATATTTTAAACTCGCCACGTTCGACACGATCAATGATTGCAACGACGAGTGGGACTACAGAAAAAATTCTGGTAGCAGGTACGGAGGACGCCGACAAACGACAACAAACAAAGTGGTCGCCGGCAAGGAAGGCAACATCGAAAAAAAAACACCGTCGACTGGGAAGAGAGGAGGCTGCGACATAATTCTTACGGTTGCCGAAAAAAGAGTAGGCTCGATACCATGTTTGATGTGTGAAAAAATACTCACTAAGATTTCTGTATATTCCATTGCAATATATAAATACAATATTTACAGAGAGACCTCTACACTGAACAACAAATATAAAATACATACAATTAATTCTAAGAGTTTTGTCTATAACTTTGACTTTTGTAAAAATCGAGTTATGTTTGATCCTCTTATGGGTTATTTATGCTTCTGTTTTGTCGGACATTATTATAAATAATGTCATGAGTTTATGTTAATTGAAAGGTATGCTTAGAGCGATCGGTATGGGCACATTCGTGCTCGTTATGCTCTACGTGTACAGACCATAACGGTGTCATAACGGGGGGAACACCCCCCCTTCTCGTTTCTTCTCGTTGTGTTACACCTCGTGCTCGTTACCATCGGGCGAAACGCGTATTATACCGTTTGAATTTAAACTCAAAGGTCAAATTAATAAAGAAACTTTAAAATTAATTATTCTTTTCCTATATAAATACCTATTGTCTATACAATTTTTCCACACAATTTCTCTCTTTCTCTCTATATAATTTCAATTATCTTCAAAAAAATTATGGATCATTTCGACTAGTCCGATGATTCCGATGACAATATATTCTTCAGAATGATGTATCATTATTACAACAACGAGCTGCTACAACCAGACCCAGCTCCGCTACTAAAAATACGTGTGATGTTAAACAGAAACCGCGAGGAAGGACACGAACATCTATATCGCGATTACTTTGCGGATAATTGTGTATACGGGTCGAAGGACTTCAAAAGAAGATTTCGTTTGAGTAGGAATGTGTTTCTACGGATCGCCAACGCCTTGGAAAGTCGGTATCGTGTCTTTCATCTTAATACATATTTACTATACTTTTATACAAAATAAATACAAATGTACTACATGTTTCTTTAATTTTAATACAAATGTACTATATTTTTTTAACTGTAGTTAATTTATGTTTTAGGTATGAATTTTTTCAATTGAGATATGATGCTAGAGGTAGACGAGAGTTTACAACGTTGCAGAAATGTGTTGTGGCCATTCGTTTGATGGCTATGGGGGAGTCACCCGACACCATGAACGACTATATGAGAATGTCCGAAAGAACCGCAAAGGAGAGTTAGTATACATTGTCAAGAGGTGTTGTTGAAACATTTGGAGACATATATTTGCGAAAACATTCGTTACATATTTTGCAAGAATTGTAAGAACGTCATGGGTTTCCCGGAATGATTGGAAGCATTGATTGCACACACTGGAAATAGAAAAATTGTCCAGTAGCATGGAAAGGGCAATATGCAAGTGGTCATCACGGATCGCCTTCGTTGGTTTTAGAGGCTGTTGCCTCTCAAGATTTATGGATTTGGCATGCATTTTTTGGGGTTGTGGGTTCCAACAACGATGTCAACGTTCTTGATCAGTCGCCAATATTCGACGATCTTTTGAATGGAAAGGCCCCGGATGCTTCTTTCACAGTGAATGGAAACGAATACAAATATGAGTATTACCTTACAGATGGAATATATCCTCAGTATTCCACATTCGTGAAGGCATTCCGACACCCGGTTGAAGAAAGAGACAAATTTTTGAAGAGAAGACAAGAAGGAGCACGTAAGGATGTGGAACATGCTTTTGGAGTGCTAAAGGCGAAGTGACACATAGTTGAACATGTGGCACGACCATTGGACTTAGAAACTTTACGATATATCATTTATGCATGTATCATAATGCATAACATGGTGGTAGAAAGATAAATGACGAAATATTACACACTATATCCCAACGGAGCTCATACACGTTCAATTTAAACCAGGAACATCAGAGTATTTGCATAGAGTCGTTGAAATTTAAGACACAAATAAACACAGACAACTTCGGGAGGACTTGACGGATTATATCTTCCACGGTAACGATAACGAATAACATTGATTAGGAAAAATAAAATGTTTTTTTTGTTGTAATGTTTTTTTCAATTTGAATGTTATGTGTAATTTAAATGCTATGTTATTTTTTTTAAACATTATGTTTTATTTAAAATATATTTGTTTTAACTAAAAAAAATGAAACTCAAAAAAAAAAAAAAATTATGACATGGAAAAAAGTTGGTGTTACATCTTGTCATAACATGGTGACCATTTCACCACTTGATGTTATAACACCATTGTTTATGTGGCATGTGATGTGACACCAATTTAGTGTTATGACTACTTGTCCACACCCAATACTCTTATAGGGTATTTCAGTTACATGATTTGATACCCGATGTAGGATGTCCTATTTAAACCCGATAGCTTGGTTGCAACTTACATGTATGTGTAAACTTGTGCTTATCGATAAACTCATACCTTCTGTTATATTATATACTACACCAATCTTGTAATTTCTTATCTTCTTAAATCATATCATATACCTTCTAACATATACAAATTCTCATTTTGTACATTATACTTATATTCTTTTGTACTATTTTCGGGGCATTACATTTATATAAAAATGTATATTTCATTTCACAATGACATTTCATAATATAACATACTTTTTTTATAAATAATACACTACCAAAAAGTTAAATCATGTGAGATTATCTACATGAACAATGCTGTATATCATATAATCACCATAGAAAACCTTGATATCATCTCATCCCATAAAACATCACAAAATCTTACCTTATTTTACTAATAATAACCTTCTTTACTCATTTTCTTATCTCCATTGTTCCATCTATAAAACACAACATAACATATGTTATACTTTATACAAAACAAGATAAGGTAACAAGACATTACAAAACATTAAATCCCAATCTTGTTCTTTTGTATATCATGAATCATGATACGAAATAATGTGACCATGAAGGGGAATTATTTGAAGCGAGACGCGTGGTCACAGTATGAGCCGTACCAAATTATCCCACTATTGGCTATTATCATGACACGTGGCTAAACATTATCTTTTCAACCAACAAATTATCTCTCCATATCTCTCCTCTCCAAATTTTCATTTTTCCCTCACAAAAACACACACATAAACTCCACCTGCTTCCGTCCATTTGCTGCATCATTTCCAATTATATCCTTTCCCACAGGTACTCTCTTCATTTCCTTTAATGTTTATTTATCTACTCTTCTCCATTTACAAGTATTCAGACCTAAGTTACAAGTCATTACAGCTTCGACTGTTTTGACTTTATAGCTTATTCGTCTACAATTCTGAAAATTCTGAATACGATGACAATTTTGATCCATAAAATTTAAAGACAATTTGATTATTTTGGGGTGTGCTTAGTTGTTTATTCATAACCAATAAAATTTAAAGAAATTAGATTATAATGAAACGTATTACGATATGTGAAACTGTTTCATTTAGAATATGGTTAGAGTATTAAATTGACAATTTGGTTAGAATTATTAATAAAAGACGACAAAAGGTATTATCACCAACACATGCTTAAAAATTACCCATTTTTGTTGATTTGATATTTGACTATTCGAGTCAGATTGATTGAACATTTTTGATAATTCAATTTCAACCTAGTTTATTTATAATTTAAACCAAAAGACTGAACTGTTTTTTTGTTTTTTTACGTGGTATCACCTTTTCATACCGAAAAGTGAACAAATATAGTAAAAAATAAACATAAATTATTTCCAAGAAAAAATTATAACTTTTTAAGAAATAACCTTTTTATGGACCGAAAATTTGTAAATTAGATAAATGCAAAAAAAGTTTAGTCAGTCTTTTTGGAAAAGAAATAAAGGTATATCTGATTTCTTGGAAAAGATTTTTGTGTTGAAATTGCATAATTCTTGTATATTTTTCTAATATCAAGGTTGAAAATGACCACAAAAAATAGTTTTATCAACAACAATTGAGTCGTGTTATTCTAGTAAGTAACATGATTTTAAACGTAAATAATATGATTTAATTAAATAAAAAAAAAATAAAGTTATTGAGTGACTTCTTCTATTGTTTTTGATATTTAGGTGGAAGGGACCATAAAAACCCTAAAAATCAGTGATTAATGGAAAGTTCAGATGCTGAATCGAGCACAAAGAGTAGTAGTAAACCAGAGTCAACAAACAAATGGATGGCATTCGACAGAGATTCAAATCAAAACAAACCTCCAATCGCTAGAATCACTCCACCTGATCAAGATGAATACGACATCGATCACATCGCCGAACGGACGGCGCAATGGCCGGGAGCGACGGCGGTCGCAGGTTTGATAGGAGATGAGGAGAGAAACAAGCGGAGCTCGTCGTCGTCGTGGAGGAATTCTGACGATTTGAATCATCAACCGCGAGTCTCGCAGGAGTTGAAGGATGCCCTGGCGACGCTTCAACAAACGTTCGTCGTCTCTGACGCCACTAAGCCGGATTGCCCGATTATGTATGCTAGCAGCGGCTTCTTTACGATGACTGGTTATTCTTCAAAAGAGGTCATTGGTAGAAACTGGTAATGCTAATACGCTATGCCTTGCGTTTTATATAGACATCGAATTATATCCTAGGTCAGAATTTGAAAATAAAAATACTTGTAGTTTTATAACTATAATCATTTAACCATTTTTCTGATGGTTAGATTACTGTGTTCTTTTAATTTTTTAATAAATAGGATGCGACGAGTTATCTAGAAAAAGTAAAATGTATTTTTATGATTTTATTCTTTTTGTCACTAACTTTTTTAGTTAGACATTAAGCTACTATCTAAATAATCATTAAAAATAATAATTTAATTATAAAATAGATCAAACAATTAGGGGGTGTTTGACTTAGCTTTTCACAGCCAAAAATCCTTTTTGGAAAAAAAAAAAAGCAAAAAATGTTTGGCAAAACTAGTTTTAAAAGCTACTTTTGGAGTTTTGATACAAGGAAAATGAACTTTTTGGAAAAGTCAGGAAAACCCCTATTTTTTGTAACTTTTCCAAAAATGACTTTTGGGCTGTGAAAAGCTAAGCCAAACACCCCTACGACAAATTGTTTCAAGTTTCAATCAAACACATAAACATGATTACACGTTAACATGTGATAGAATCGTGTGTTGTTTGGACATTTAAGGATAAATTATCTAATGTTTAGATTTTTGTCTAATAACCTTAACATGTCTATCTTTATATGTTTAGATTTTTGTCTAATATCCTTTACATGTCAAGTCAAACTTTCAAAGTTTGTCTTTAGTTAACCCAAAGTATTATCAGATTATATATTAACTTCAAATGTAAAAATGCTAAAAATGTACAATTATCCAAATACATGAATATATACAATGAATATATACAAGTTTGTAAACTAGTAAGTATTAGATGAGTACAATTTTTTTTTGAACAACAATATGTGATAGAATTATGTTACGTTTGTAGACTATTTATTTAGTTTTTTATATCAAATATTATTTATATGTCAAACAACAAGTTTTATTAGTCAAATTAAATTAAATTTGTCGAAATTTTTTTTATCATATACTACAACTTTTTTGGAATTATAATATTATTCTTTATTTATTTAAATAACTTTTTTTTAACAATATTTTTTTGGCATAAGAAATACGTAACTTTCAAATGTACAAAATTCAGTCGATTGATTCGACTCAAAATGAAAAAACCGCAGTGGGACGGTGGTGCACCAAGCTCCGTCGGAGATCCTGGTGCACCGGTATGCCGTTACAGTGATTCTATCAGTGTATCACATTCATATTAGCATCTCAATTCCGATTTACACAAAACACAACAGACGCCATTTTAGAAAGTTAAGAAGCTCTCTGAAATTGATGTTTGTTGGATCAGCCGGTTTCTACAGGGGAAGGAGACGGATCAGAAGGAGGTGGATAAAATACGACATGCAGTCAAAACCGGAACTAGCTACTGCGGCAGGCTCTACAACTACAAAAAAGATGGCACTCCTTTTTGGAATCTACTCACTGTCACTCCGATCAAAGATGAAAACGGAAAAACCATCAAATTCATCGGGTAATTTATCTTCTGATCTACTTAAATCGTAATAATATTAGGCAAACTTCGCATTCCGTCGAATTGTACTACTTTATTAGGTTATACTTTCGTATTTATGATCATATTATTACTGTGAATTCGCAGAATGCAAGTAGAAGTCAGCAAGTACACCGAAGGCGTGAATGAGAAGGAATTACGCCCAAACGGATTGCCAACGTCGTTAATTCGCTATGATGGTTCGTAGATCGATCTGTTGTTTTTGCTGTGTATATTATGAATGAAAGTGTTTTTTTGAAGCTTTAATTTTCGCCATGGACAGCTCGTCAGAAGGAAACAGCTCTGGGTGATATTGTGGAGGTTGTACAGACTGTTGAGCGTCCACGAACTAACAATCAGTCAAGCAAAACAGAAATCGTGGAGAAGATCGTGGAATCCCCAATTTCTCCATCGTTAGAAAAATTGAACATAAACATGAATACACCTGGAAGAGAAACACCTCTCTTTGATCCTAAAGGTGATTCAACCCCTACAAGCTCTTGGAGTGCATCGAAATCCAGGAAATCAACACGCAGTTCCCTAATGGGGTGAGTTTATATCTATTTTCTGAAGTTGATTTGATTTATTTAAACCCTAAATTAATGTCAAAATCGATGAATAACCTACACAGATTCAAGGGAAGATCTTCGACTCATGAGTTTCAACCAACTATCGAGCCTGAAGAGTTAATGACAAAAGATTTATCACGAACTGATAGCTGGGGTCGAATGGAAAGAATGAGAGATATGCGTCAGGGGATAGATTTAGCAACTACACTTGAACGTATTGAAAAGAATTTTGTGATCACAGATCCTAGGCTTCCTGATAACCCCATCGTAAGAACATGATTAAACATTCTTTTTGTTTCAGTTCATAAAAATGGAACCCTAAATCTCCTACTTGATATGCAGATTTTCGCATCAGATAGCTTCCTTGAGTTGACAGAGTTTACACGTGAGGAAATTTTAGGAAGAAATTGCAGGTTTCTACAAGGACCTGAAACTGATCAAGGAACTGTTGATAAAATACGAGCTGCTATCAGAGAACAAAGGGAAATTACTGTACAGTTGATTAACTATACAAAGAGTGGTGAGCTATGATTTCATATTTCTTAATTTCAAGAAAAATTTACACATTTGGTCCCTTAGTATCGCTGATCTTTTCTATTTTGGTCCCAAAAAGTTTCTGTTGCAATTTTTGTCCTTATTTGTGGTTTATATAACATTTATGGTCTATGTTTCAAGTAAGATGATTGTATTTTTGGGACCAAATTGCAAAAATCAGCTATAGTCAGGGACAAAAATGTAATTTACTCTAATGATTGGGTTTATGTTGATTGATTTATTTTGTTTGTTTGAACTAATCAGGGAAGAAATTTTGGAATTTGTTTCACTTGCAACCTATGCGTGACCAAAAGGTAAAGTAGAAAATTTTATTAAATATATGGTTGCATTATGTAATTTGAGCCAATTTAAATTCCTTTTAAAAATTCAGGGAGAACTTCAATATTTTATTGGAGTCCAACTAGATGGAAGTGGTAATGTGGAACCATTAAGAAATCGGCTTTCAGACACCACAGAAAAACAAAGTGCTAAGTTGGTATATTTTTTATTGTTCTCTTTTAATATACATATTAGCCTTTTTTTTCAAATATCTTAAAATGTTTAAAATTCTTCTCTTTGACCAGGTCAAAGCTACTGCAGAAAATGTTGATGAAGCTGTTAGAGAACTTCCTGATGCCAACTTGGTAAGGTACTCGTCTTTCCTTAGTATTCTACTTGTAAATAATATATATTATAATATAATATTAAAAATGACACGTGAAAATATTACATATCAAAATGATAAAATATTTATCAATTTACCATGTCATCTTTTTTTTGGTTCATCTCTTAAAAGACTTTATATTTTGTGTCTTTTCTGAATTAAACTTCAACCTTATTTTTTTTTTGCCTAAAAAAGACATTGTATTTTTTCATTTTTTCCGAAAAAACCCTCAACCTTCAAACTGCTTTCAAATAAACCCTCAACTTTTTTAATTTTTCTCGAAAAAACCCTCGCATTTTACAATTTTTATTGGGAAATCTCTGATAAAGTCCAAATATTTTGGGTCGGTTTACGTTTAATCCCAACATTTATTTTTTGAATAAAAAAGTCATGATTATCTAATTTTATACAATAATCTATCATTTTTCTGTTGAAAAAAAAAAGGACTGATTCGTTAATTTGGGCAAAATATAAAATAATCAGGACTTTTCCAGCTCAAAAAATAAAAGTCGGGATTAAACCGTAAAATAGCCCAAAAATATTGAGACTTTATTAGAGATTTCCTTTTTTTTCGGAAAAAAAATGACTAAAAGGGTCAAATTGGAAAAAATGAAAAAATACAAAGTCTTTTTCAAACAATTTTCTTTTTGATGTTTAATCTGGAAAAAAACACAAAATATAATTAATGAAATTAACCTTTTTTTTATTACTTTTAGTATATGTTTTTACTTATTTTTGGCTGATGAATAATTTTATTGTCTCCCATTTCAGAGGCCAGAGGACCTGTGGGCTATCCACTCTCAACCTGTCTTTCCTAGGCCCCACAAAAAGTACAATTCTTCATGGAAAGCTATACAAAAGGTAACTTTTTTTTTTTTTAAATGCAACAATTTTTTTACCATTTTTTTTTACCTTTTTATTGTTTTGTAGATCACTGCAAATGGTGAAATAATTGGACTTGATCATTTTAAACCTATCAGACCTTTGGGAAGTGGAGATACTGGAAGGTATATTGTCTGAATGTGTTCTTTAACTTTTCCAATTTCTATTATAAATTTATAATCAATTTGTTTACAATTTTATAGAGTTAGGGTTTATATTTTCTATAAATAATTGAATTCTTGATTGTAGTGTTCATTTGGTTGAACTAAAAGATACTGGTGAACTTTTTGCCATGAAAGCAATGGATAAAGCAGTAATGATGAACAGAAACAAGGTATGTTTGTAAAAAACAATATTCTATTTTTTTTTTATGATTTCAAATTTATATAGTTTTTGAAATTTGATTTTTGTTATGTAAATTTCAGGTTCATAGAGCTTGTATTGAAAGGGAAATAATCGGGCTACTGGATCACCCTTTCCTTCCAACACTATACACATCTTTTGAGGTTTCAATTTAATGTTTTAAATAATTTGTTAGTATTTATTTTAATTTGTAATTAGGTTTTGATTATTATAATCTGAAAATATATACTAACATGTTTCATCTTTTCAGACTCCAACACATGTCTGTTTGATAACAGACTTTTGCCCTGGAGGGGAATTATTTGCTCTGCTTGACAAACAACCTTTGAAATTATTCAAAGAAGAGTCTGCAAGGTACTTCCTATTCACATTTTAAAAGACCTTTCTACCCTTTTCAAAAGTTTTTTTTTTAAATATTAATAATAAGTGGTTAATATTTCAAAAAAAACCTTGCCCTCTTATACATTTCATCTGTGGTTTAATGTTCTTGTATGCATGTTTATTCCCGTTTTACCCCTACCCCTCATTTTCAATTTCTATCTGCAGATTCTATGCAGCTGAGGTTGTAATTGGGTTAGAGTATCTCCATTGTTTAGGTATCTCTTCATCCAATCTCATTCAGCTGCTATCTGCATTGTAAATTTGTTATATTCCCATTTTACCCCTTACATCTTTCATTCAATTTCTGTTTTTTTTCAGGGATCATCTATAGGGACTTGAAACCGGAGAATATATTACTTCAAACAGATGGACATGTTGTATTGAGTGACTTTGATTTATCATTCAGAACTCAATGTAAACCCCAAGTATGTAATATGTCCTCTTCTATCTAAAAAATTTAACTTATATTCTTACAAGATTCTGGATTTATTTATTTATTTTTGTCTTATGTTAATTTTAATTTTGCAGGTTATAAAACACCCTCAGCTTAAAAGAAGAAGATCTAGAAGCCAACCACCACCTACATTTGTTGCAGAACCTTCTACACAATCTAATTCATTCGTTGGCACAGAAGAATACATTGCTCCGGTATGAAAAGTACTCAAGGGCATTTACGTAATTTCACTTATTTATGGAATTTATTTTACCCTTTGAAATTATGATGATATTTCAGGAAATCATAACAGGAGCTGGCCACTCCAGTGCTATTGATTGGTGGGCAGTGGGTAAGCTTATTAATTTTCATGCCTTCAATTTTTTCTTTAAAATATACAGTTTGTTTCAATACTTAAACTAATTTTTTATTATATTCTTTTTTTTTTTCAGGTATTTTATTATATGAGATGCTGTATGGTCGTACACCATTTAGAGGAAAGAATAGGCAGAAGACATTTGCAAACATCTTGCATAAAGACCTTACATTTCCAAGTAGCATTCCCGTAAGAGTCAAACTATATACAAAAAAATTTTCAAACTAGTCAAAAAGACCAAATTAACCCTAACTTTATATATTTTTATTTTTTTTTAGGTGAGCCTTGCAGCAAGACAGCTGATTCATGGATTATTGAACAGAGACCCTGGAAGCCGTTTAGGATCAATCGGTGGTTCCAATGCAATAAAAGAACATGCATTTTTCCGTGGAATTAATTGGCCTTTAATCCGCTGCATGGTATCTATTCATTTTTTATTATAACCCTTATTAATTATTAATTATTATTATTAATCCATGAAATATTTTCCATGCAGAGCCCACCAGAGTTGGATTCACCACTTGAGTTGATTGGGAAAGATTCAACAGCAAAAGATATTCAATGGGAAGATGGTGCCATGCTGGATAATGCTTTGGATGTATTTTAGAGGTTTATTTTCACATTTCCCCTACTTTCATTTCTTTTTCTTATATTGCTGTTTTCTGTTTTTTTTTAACAAATATTTTAATTTTTTCAGGTGTTGGGAAGCTAAAATGTAAATCAAGAATAAGAAAAAAAAAACGTTGTGTGTGCATGTTCATGGTCTCCTTTGGTATATTATGAGAAGTGAGGGTTTCGGATTTACAAAGAACATGTGGTGATGCACAATAGGTTTAATGTTTTGGGTTTGGAATCTTTAATTAATTGTGTATTATTCTTTTGTATTATATCGACTACTTCATATCTATTATCATAAAAACACAGTATATGTTATGTGTTGGTATATAATGAATAAATGTGTTTTGGAAATTAAAGTAAGCTCATTGCTATATATAGCTTTTTAGGGTTACCCCGATAAGTTTATAACGTTTTTTTTTTTTTAATCAAGTATTTGTTTTTAAGTAACTTCTTAGTTCTTATGGAGGAGAGGAGGGAGTCTTTCCTTTTCGACTCATTCAATCCACTATCACATCAATTTCATATCAGTTTTTCTTTTTCCTCTCTAATATTTCTCAACCCACAACATATGGAAACCTTATTTTTTCCAACACACTTAATTTTTAATTTTAAAATAAACAAAAACTAATAAAAATTATACAAAACTAATTTATAAAATATTAAAAATATATAAACTAATTTACCAACATACAAAATTATTTTGATATAAATCTTAAAGTTAGATGTACAAGTCCTCAATGCATGAGGAGTAAAGGGTTGAAGCGGGTTCACCAACCCGTTGCAATGCACAAATCCATCCAACCCGCCGCATCCAGCGGGTACCGCCCCATCCCATCGTCCAAACCGCATACGACTCCGTCTTCCCTTATAGATAGATTATTGTGAGTTTTTTTTTTTACCAAAGTATTGTACTTTAATAAATATTTAACATATACTTATGTTTTAAAAAATTTTAGAAGATAACGTTTTTTAAACTATTAAGGAAATAAAAGAAGTGGTCCTATTTTTTTCCTAATGGCACCTTCCCCATTATTGTGTTCACCGTATGTCATTTCAATTACCCATGTCATCTGACTTCCCCTTGCCGTTTTGCGACCTCCTTTTGTCGGATAACCCCTACAACGACATCAATGATGAACCCTTGCATATTGCTAGAGAATCCCCTCGTATTGACGAGAAACCATCTTACCCTCTTTGCTTAACAGACCATGTCGTCGTGATGCATCTTCGCGACAGAAACCATAATCATCTAGGGTTTGTGTGTAACGAGTTTCTGGAGTGTGTCAAGTAATATTTGGCTTGTTGATTGTGCTTAGAAAGACATCATTGTTTTTATAATTTTTTTGTCTCTTTCTCTTTACTTGAGCAACACAAGCGCCTCTGAACCCTATCTTTGTTGTCTCAACAGGGAGAACCAGCTACAACAAGATCTTTGCTCAGAAGCTTCTGATGCGAGATCCACACGCACATCCTTGAAAGCATGAAGCTGGCATCAACTCACATTGAACTCGCGTTCTGACCAATCCCTTATACCCTCTGCCACGAAAAATCTCAACCATCTCGAATTCCAAAAACGGCTAATGTACTTGCATTGCAACTTTTCCCGATCCATTGTGATGAAGCCGTCAAAACCCATCCGGTTGCGGATCCTCCAAGTGGACACCCAGATTGCTTCTTTTTATGCTCACACCATCGTTGTCCGTCGCCTCCCGAATTGACGCCTTCTGCCGGCATCAATCGACTACTCTTCAAGCATGACTCTCGATATGCAAAATGGCATATGAAGATTCTTTGAAATATAATAACTAAACCATCATAAGGAAATTCTAATTAATAAGTGGAGACTTAAATAAACCGAACATATCGTCTCACACACGCAATCACATAATCATAAACATAAATAATAATAGTAATAATAGCATGAAGGAAGTGAACACAATACATACTTGCGGGGTCTTGAGGTCCTAATTCCGCCTCCTAAAAAATCGCGGATGATGGGGCCTGAACCGCCCCATTCGTCTAACATGGGCAATTTGCCCTAATATGACCAGGCTGATGACAACGATGACATAACTCTACCTACAGGTGCAGTCTTAGCGAACATGGGCCATCCGTCCGCCCTTAACGTAAGTGTCATGGTCCCTCTGGACTCCAATACTTAACACGACAACATTAATCTTTTTAGATGTTGCTAGCAGAACCGGGTCACGAGTCCACTTCCTCTTTCCCAGCCGTGTCTCTAAACCAAGCTCTCGCTCCTTTGTCACCTTATCAATCCTGTCAGCTGACTAGATGGACACAATCTGCTCTTCAAACTTGGTGACCAACCTATCAGAGATATGTCTAATAATGCTAGATAACTCCTCTTATAAGTCCTTAGAGGCCTCAACAGCAATCCTATCAGCTCGATCCCTCTGAAGGAAGGATGCAAATCCCTCCTTCGACCCCTCAAAGCAATAACTAGCCCGCCGAGCATCCCCCATGTCAGTAATCCATTGCCTACTAGCAATAGGGTCATTCTCCCCGAGGAACTCTAGGGCTCCGCAAGACTTGAACTCCCGAAGAAAGAGTGTATGTGTCGCGATTTGACCAGCTACAATCTCTGCACTAAAAGCCCCAAACCGCTCATCCAATAGCTCCATGATCCTCTAAACATCACAGGAGTCGCGTCCAAAAATACCGCGAGTAACCTTAAAAAAACAAACTCGTGTATCCTTTTATCAATCGGCTCAACATCAGAACCTAAACCAGAACCTCATACACGAGTGATCGTCGCCATACTGAAAAGCAACCACACAAAGGATCATAACATGCCCAAAGAATTCCTCATTATGTAGGCTCCCTATAATCTCTGTGACTTTCCTTGATTCAAGTACGGATCTTGTGCTTTCAGTAGTACGGGCCCAATACTACCTTCCACACTTATCCATACTTTTCTCAAGAATCATCTCGAGTCCTCTAAGTTACCTTCTCATACTGATACTCCCAGTACCCACTAAACAGTGCACCAATCACACTAAAATACTTCCTAGGCTTTCCTTGGATTCCTCACCCCAACCTGCCATCAGCTGCTGAAGAACCTCTACTAATGTCAGCTAACTACTTCATGAATATAGTTACATGCAACAAAGCTTAGATAATCCTTCGACTAAAATACTCAACCATACAACGATTAGACTCAAACGAGAGTTGTGCAATAAGGCCAAGTCAATCACTCTAATATTATTTAACCTTTACTGCATGTAACTTAACATATTCATGTAATAATTAACTCACATCAATATGAGTCCCAAAAAGCACAAAGCAAGCAGCATTCAAGCATCGAATAATCTAAACCAGTGCATCACCTAATCACCCCATTCTATCCAACATCTGAACTCCATACTAGCATGCAATTCTAAAAGCTCAACCAACAAGCATATAAAGGCATCTCTCCTAGAGTTCTATCATGAAATCCTAAGCAAATCCTTAGCCCTAATCTAGCATGCAATTCTCATAATATATAACATAACATCATGCATGAGTATTCTCGAAATCACTTACTTGAGCTCAGCTGATTTCACGCATCACACCCCTTTTCTTTATAAAAATACTTTAGAAAATTCATTTTCTTGCAACATCCCAAAAATTCATAGTAAAATTTTCATTTTTAAAACAATAAATCATACAAATGAGTTGTTCCAAACCAATCAAAGTGAATATGCTATTTAAATATCAGAGGAAAAATCACAAATAGCCAATGTGGAAAACTCTGGGGGATGTTGTGAAGTCACGTCAGACCCTTCCCTTAGAACCGGAAGTACCTAAAACCATAAACATGAAACCATAAGCACAAAGCTTAGTGAGTTCCCCAAAATACCACATACCATACATACATCGGGCCCCGCCCGATATTCATCGAGCCCCGCCTGTAATACATAATGGGCCCCGCCCAACATACATATAAACACGTGAAAGAGTCACAAAGACAACTAGCATCCTACAAACATAATCCAATGGGTCGACATTGGTGCCTTCCACCCACAAGTACAGTGAAGAGGCTCACCTCGACCGGTAAATGAATAGATCTCACACATGAGCTGTTGGTGCTAAGGTCTCTCCCACTAAACATATCATAATACCAAACCTAATTAGATATTAAGGTAATATCTCACTTAAAAGGTCTGAACGCCAAAGTTAAACCCCAATTGGGAAAAAGATCATTTTGCCCATCCAAGTCCTCAACCCCTCACAGTTGACCAAAGGTCAAACTGATCAAAAAGTCAATGGTTAACACCCAGTTGAGTTACGCCATGCGTAATCAATCTACGCTCTATGTAGTGGTACGCCATGCGTATTGAGAGTACGCCCTGCATACTTCACTGCTAATCCATTTCCATTTTTATCTCTTAATCCATAAAGACCAACCATCTATTGCTCAGATCTAGTCCTATAAAACGTCTAGAATGATAAAGTTCCTAACTGTTAGGAAGTAAAGCAGATAACTAGCAAAACTATAAAGACACAAGACACAATATTTACGTGATTCGGTCAAGGTGACCTACGTCCACAGACAAGAGGGGAGTATTCTTTACTTCAGAGCTCTCAAACAGAGGTTACAAGTACAATTACACAGAGATTTGCCCATCACTCTAGAATTCAAGATACAAAATGACCTAACATGAATCCCTATTTATACTTGGGGGATCAGACCTAAAACCCTAATAGGCCAAACCCATAGGCCCATGAAAGGTGTCAACCAATCATAATCCTCCATGAAACATCTTCTGGAACATTCTTCCATGTCATACAATCCATGAGTATCAGCAACGCACATGACGGAGCACCTTGTGTGTAACATCCATAAAAATTACAAAAAGTTGAATTTTTAAAAACCAACCCAAAATCACAAATTGTTTACAACATAGTTTTCAAAACATGTTCTATATCAGAGTTTCCCAAAATCATAAGTCCAAAACATGAGGGTGTGTACGGTCACGCCTTCGCCTTCCCGCGATTCTCTGAAGTACCTGAAACATAACCTAAAACTGTAAGCCAACGCTTAGTGAGTTCCCCCAAAGTACCAATACAACACATAATAATAACCACAACAAATAACATGCACATAGAGCCTTCATTTTGACTGTAACGCCCCGCCGGCCTACAGTCTATCTGGTACGCTCACAGAACCTTCATCATGACTGGTACGCCTCACCGAGCCTTCACCCTATCTGGAACATTCTCCGAGCCTTCGGCCTGACTAGTTCCCCCCTCTGGTCTGCAGTCTATCCGGGATGCCCTGGGTCTCTTGGCCTTCAGCACAAAGAAGGACCTCCTCAACCCACATACCATCACATATCA